GAGGAAAAAAGCCCGGTAAATCACAATGGTCGATCCTCTCTAAGCGGGCATTTAATTCGAGTCCGCAGTCTCGCTGTATAATTCTGATCGCCGATACCCTTCCTACGCGGCGAACAAAGGGACCCCGGGATCTCGTGTTGAACGGCGAGCGTGCTCGCGCGCGCGCGCGCGCGTTCCCCGCTTTTACTATAATTTAACGGAAGTTATCGCGCGAGGGACATCGCGTTCCCGTGATTTCTCTATTAAGCCTCTCACCGATTCGGAATAAACTCTCATAGTTCGCGTTCACGCACATTTCTTCATTCGCGAGACCTTTCAAATTGTTCTTCCGGCAATTAGCCGAACGAATTTTGTCACGACACAGATTTTAAGATTTCTAAAATTCAGTTTCAAATGAATTCGGAATTTAACACGTTGAATGCCGTGGAGGCCACCGGTGACCCCAACCAAATCGAATTACTATAGTTCGTTCAATTAAACATTGATTATTTGAAACATTTTTATATTATAAATAATACTACCTAGTGCGGTGACATTCAGCTAGGTGAACATGTACATTACATAATAATATGCGATTCAATCGAATGATTTAATATTACATTTTTCCCACTTTGTGTATTTTGCTCTGTGAAATCGTGCTGCGTCCAACGTGTTAATTAAACGAAGCCCTTGTAAAGTTGATCAGTAATGGCATTTCCATCGATGGCAAATCCACTTGCATAAAACGGATCTGACGATTCCACACACCGTAAACAACGACATTCGGAAGATGCGAATCTCCTTCACCGAGCAATTTCGTGAATAAGTGAATTGTGTTCACCGATTACGCGACGAAACCGACCTGGGAAACAATCGGGCGCGTCCACGCGTCCCTCGGCGTTCGACGCGTTGCGAAACGAGCGATAAGCGACGACGCGCGTTAAGAATCCGGCCGGTCGATCGTGCGGCCGTAGGGTTCCGAGAAAGCGATTTCGATCCGTGGATCGATTTCAATTAAAAAAGCCGTTCAGCGGTCGCGTGACGCTGGAAACGGGGACGTTCGGGGGCAGTTAACTTTAATTGAAACGCCGGGGGTACGCCGTTGCGCCTTCCGGTGGAACCACCTGTCCGCGTCGGTGCGCGGCGAACGCCGCTCGTAAAAAGTGTTATCGTTGCCCCCGGGGACCGCGATACTAAAATTAATAATCGCCGCAGTAAACGGTAATTAAAAGGGCATCTTAACGAGCGCGTCCCGGGGGCCTAGCGGGCCGCGAGGCCAGGGGCCGGGGCTAAATACGATCGAATTAGTGTCCGGCGGGTTCGGTATTTATTTCCGGTGATACGGCGGATGCCGGTGACCATTCCCGCGGTTCGGCATCACTCGGTTATTCCCAGGCGGACCCGGGGCAAGAAAAGAAACGGCTCCCCAATCGCCGCGCCGCGTCGGCCGGGCCGAACCGATCGTCCGCCGCGTCGCGTCACACGATTAAAGACGCCATTACGCCGGCCGCGGGAAAGGAGCTTCGGAAACGGGCCGGGTTCGTTTTCAATCAGCGAGTGCGTCGTTATGGGGACAGGAAGATAAAGTCGGTCTACGGGGTCGGATAAAGCCGAAAGAGGAACAGAGAGATTAGAAAAAAGGCTCTCCAGCTCGATAAAAGAGTCGCTCGAAAGGTTACTTTGTCCGCGCGCGGCGCTGCAGGCGCGCGGGGTTAGCCATGGCGGCGGCGAAGGGACCGGGAAACGTGAAAGAGAGACGAACGGTGGCCGAGGGCGAGGGAGAGAGACGTCCATTCGTTTTAATCGCTAATCGCCAATTACCTGGGACCGTCCCGCGGCCCGAATCCCCCAGAAGCATTTTAACGAGCCGCCGTGTCGCCCGGTCCCGGAATTTTACTTCTGCCTCTCGGGGCCCGGTCGGCTTCCAGTGGCCTCCGTAACACCGAAACCGGGGGCTCCGGGCCGCGCCCGGTTCACCGGTATCTTCTTCTTCCTCCTCTTCCTTCGACTTCGCCTCCTCTTGCCCCTTTCGCCGCGTCCGCAACGAAGCATCGGTTGGCCGGTCAGCGAGTCGCTATCTCTTCTTCTTCGTTCACGTGGAATATGGACAGGACGCGGGCCTGTGTGTGCCTGTGTATGCGCGCGCGCGAGCGCCCCGTACCAATTAGCGCATACTTGGGGCCCACGGTGTTCGGGTGCCCACCGGTGGCCCCGACCGGCGGTCGCTTTCGGTGGCCGGGCCCCGAACGCCGCGTCCACGGAATGGGACGAATCGCTCCAAGGCCGCCTTTTCACGTTTTATTTCGACATCCGTCCCTCCTCCATCCCTCCCCGTGGGCCCGTGCGCCAGCCAAGGCCCCGTGGAACCCGGCCGAACCTTCTGCCGTGCGGATGCCCGGACCCTGTCATAGGCGTGGAGAATGAATCGGCCTTTGAATGGCTCTTATAATCGATTGGCTATCCCACTGCGGATAAGAGGATGGACTTTATTTTCGGTATCGATATAAAAGATCGGTGCGGCGGTCGGTCCCGAGGATAACGCCGTGGAATTTACGCATCGTGCTTTCGGATCGGTTTTCTTTAGAATCTTAGGTGTCGCGCGGAGTAATTGGCTGCTATATTTGGCTAGTCGGGAACGTTCTGGAACGGGCCTCGGGAGTAAGGGACTCGTGATAGTTGATCCAGCGGGAGGTGATTGGAAAGGGGCGCCCGTCGAAAGTGGGTCGTTCTCGGGAATTAGGGATTACAGGGGTTTAATGAGGACTTCTGCAATTTATTGTCTGCGTTTCTCGAACTACGAGGACTTTAACGATGTTCCGCTGGAATCTGATCTTAAGGAATGAAATCATTGCAGTTTTGATAAATGTTTTCAGCGTGAACCCTTTGCACTCGAAACTTTTTCGTTAGAAATATCGGACATCTGTGATTTGGACGATACGCTCCCGAACCGAGTCGAATTCAACGTTACATATGTTGATACATTATTATACTCAATATCAAACTTCAGCATTTTACTATATCAAATCGAACGACTCCAGTTCAAAGGATCAATTGCTTTGATTTTCCGCAATAGCACCGCGTAGTGGACCATTCATTGTCGATAATTCTGCCGAGATCGACAGGATACCTTAATTAAACTTCATTCGATTAATTCATTCGTCGACACTCATCGACAGTTAGCAAATTTAATATAGAAGCCATACAAAAAGGGAAGTCTGATTTCTCATTTAATGCTGTTCGACGAACCTCCGCTGATCTTGCGTTCCAGAACAACGAGGTTCCCCACCGATGGAAAAGCGATTAACGCGAAACGTTGGAGGAAACGGCCGGCTTACCATATTTCTTTCGGAAAGGAAGTCCACGAATGGTAATAGCGTATTGGTCCCCGTGAACGCCGGGGAAAAGATACGCGGACGGCTTTCCTTCGGATTTTCGTAACGGTTCTAGCAGCGTGTTCCGCGCCGCGGGATTAAGTATACACCACTGTGGGAGCTAAGTAATAACTGCCAATGGAATTAGAGACGCCGCGTAGTCGCGTACGCTCGATGAGATTTACGTGACTGTACGTCAATCATTTTTATCCGTGGATCGACGACGGGATATATCTATAGACACGGAAGCGCCAATCGCCGCGGGATAGAGCCATCGATGCGTTGAAATATGAGCCGTTCCACGGACAAATCGGTTAACTCCATTTTTCGAGCTTTCAAACGTTTTATCGTTGAATCACTCGATTGACTTTTAACTATTCGCGTTTTAAGTAAATTTATTTATTATTGAAGTCAGTACCGCGAAGTAATAAGAATTCCTTTGGCCAATAATAATAAAGATTATTTCAAACATATACTATTTGATGAATTTTATGTTTGATGGATTAAGCTACATGTTAATAATAAAGTGAAATATATTCCACAATGTTCACTTGATGTTTCAATCGATGATAAATGTGAGACATCAATATATCTACAAGGAGTTAAACGCTTTGACTAATGAGTAGCTCATATACCGGATAAAACGGTTAAAACAAAATGGCGGCGCCGGTAATAGGAACGTTATCATCGACGACCGTTATCGACGAAAAATCGTACGCATACGATATTCAAGTTACTCGTGGCACGATCGTCACATTTTGTCTGTCAATGTCCATTTGTTAACCGTTTCAAAATCACTTGAAAAAATTCTCAGTAAATTTAACCGAACCCTTAACCTCTTTTCCGCTTGAACTCTTAGCGGTTCTGCGTCCAGGCAGACTCGACGATCAGTTTCATTCCAGTCACTAGGTATTTCGTCAATTTCTGTTGGAACCATTCGTAACACAGTAATCTAGAAGTTTTCAAAATCAAGCAAGTAGCAGATTATTTTCGAAAATAAATCCGAGCTCGTAAAAGTTTGGGAAGCACAGATACAATCACATAATACACAAGCCAAATTACAATGTCCAAAATTCTACTACGATAAATCAGTAAACCGTTATACGAAGCTGCAACCGAATTCACATCAACGCGAGTTCCGATAAACGAAAAACGAAGAACGTCTGGAACTTCAAAATTAACACGTTGTCCGTCACAGAGATTTCCAGCGTTTCATATAACTTCATCTGCCATAATAAAAACAAATGGTATTAAAATTAATTATTAATTATTAACTAACACGTTCGCTCAATATTTCCTTCAATCCAATAAATCTTCTAAACAACATATCCAAAAAATGAAACTGAAACAAGTCATCAAGTTCTTAGGTATACTTTCGTAGTTTACAATTTCTAATAACAATACCCATAGGACTAATTTCATTTTCACCACGTAAAATATAGAATCACGGCCGTCACAAATATGTAACGCTGGCAGCTAACGCGTTAAGCTTCATTGTTATTCAGTTCCCTAAGCAACGAATTATACCGATTCGACATCAGTATTCTCCTCGTAATTGTTTCCAAGCTATCCAGCAGCTCCAGTGAACGGTACGATCGGTACCACGTGTAAATCTCGCAATAACCCCGAGGAACTGTCGATCGTTAAGAAATGACCTGTTTCGGCGGTCGCGACGAGCGTATCTACATGGCCGAGATGCTGGTGCACAAGCTGACGCTGACCAAAGGGAAGACGAAGGACATAGGCGAGTTCCCGATCGCGATAAAGATCAAGTTCCTCGACTTCCCTGTGTTCGAGATCACCCGGCAGGACTTCTACTCGTACGAGCCTCCGCCGGCCGAGGACGAAGGCTGCAGTCTGCGCTTTATGATCGGCAGAAGCTGCATGTTCGTGATGCAGCCGATGGACCTGGTACGGGATCTGCAATCGAGGCCGCTGAAAGTCGGCGTTTTCCGGGTGGGCGACACTTATCCGACCGCGGAGACGGAGGTCACGTTGCCCGGCTGCCTCTGCGACCAAGTCGCTATGAGCCAGAACGATCCGGAGAACCTGCCGAAACCGTTCGCTGTCACAGGGAAGTACAACCTGACGGATCCAGGCGGCAACCCCTCCGGCACGCTGGAAATGGAGCTGAAGCTGCTCTGCTTCGGCAGGTCCCTGATGACCCACTACGAGCTCCATCCACTGTTCTTCGTGTTCAGGAATCAGGACAAGGAGCGGGAGTTCTGCGTGAGAAGGCTGGTGCCTGCTAGCTACCATCCGGAGGGACTTGGCAAAGACGCCACGCAATTTCCGGATAGGACCACGCTGGACGAATTGAAAGGGATCGATCCAGCTGCGCCACGGAAGAAGGAGAAGAAAGGGAAGAAGGATAAGACAGGGAAGAAGCGTAAGAAGTGAAGTATGACGGTTTCGTTCCTGTTTCTGGGTTTATTGTGGTAGCAACGGTTGATCGTTGACATGGCATTACTGTGATTAACTTGTGGAAGTGTTGAAATACAATGAAAGAATTTGATCGAAGATTATTGTGAGATAATTTGGGAATAATAAAATTTGTTTCTGCGGCAGTTTGAAAATGTGCTCATCGGAGAGTGCTGAATTTAGCGTGAGAATGTTATATGAAATTCCTTTAGAAAATTGTCGCGAGACTAACAAATTTAAACATCGAGTTTATAATTCGAACGGGTCACCCGTTACCAGAGTCTTACCCAATTTGTTCACCGACGTCGCCATGGTGATTGCACGCGACACTTTTCGCGTGGAACCGATCGATTAGAGACTTCGGTGCAGTTAGGTTACGATGTGCCGGTCGTAAACTGGACGCAAAATTAATGGGTTGTTGCAGCCGGTGATATTTCCGCCAGCATTCGCGGGTTCGCGGTTCCTCTGCCCTAAATTCCTGTGTACGCGACAAAATAGCCGGAGAAATGGCGTCGAGAAAAAGGATACCAAAGCCGAACGAGGAGCACTTGTACATGCTCGAAGTGTTCGTTGACCAAGTCAACTTTCTCCCGGAGAAACCCAACGTAAACGTTAAAAATCTGACGATTTTCGCGAGATTCGCCGACTTACCGGAATACAACCTAACAGTTCCTAGCAATCGCGAACAGCTAGGAAATTCGAGCATCTTCAAATCCGGTAAATCATGCTTGTTCGCCAAGTCGCCGACCGCTTTGATGAAAACCATGAAAGTCACCCCGTTGCGCTTGGACGTGTACCACGAGGAGTCGAGAAACGAGAACAAAGAGCTTCTGAGCAGCATAAAGGTCGCTTTGCCGGCGTGCATGTGCGACCACGTGTCAAAATCCCGAAAGGAGACCAACGGTGCACCCCCCGTCAGCGTATCAAAGAACGATTTCGATCTGACCGATCCGAGCGGGCAGGCCTGCGGCAGTGTGTCTGTCGTCCTCCGACTATCCTGTTTCGGTAGTTCCATCGTAAAGCGTTTCTTACTGAACGGCAAATCGTTCATGTTAGAGGACTCTCCAGTACAAAAGTTTCTGTGCCCCTATCTGACTTCGGCTCGGGCTGCAGAAGAACCTGTCCAGCAGGCGGCGTTGAAGCGTCCTGCTTCGCCACCGCGTGTTTCGATCAACGATCCCGGTTTCAAGGATCTGACTACGGCGGAGAAGCTGAACGATCCTAAGTTCCGAGAATTAGTGTACCGAGCGTATCCAGATGAACCTACTTGCTGCTGTCAGCCGGCTGATCGATCGACGGGTCCCATGGAATGTCGTTCCGGCTGCAAGCGACCTTGCTGTATGAAGCTGAGGGACCCCGAATCGTTAGCCAGGCACCAGCCTCGGCCCGTAGACGACTCGGCCGATACTTACTGCGTCAATAATTACCTAACCCCGATAGAGGATACGGGACAAGACTGCTCGGCGAGGCTCAGAGGCGGCGGGGACATCGAGCAAATTTACCTAGGCCCGGCCGGGTACAAATGGCCCGACTACGACACTGACTGCTTCTACCGCGAGGAGCAGGATGTCGAGAGGATCCGTTTGGAAGGCGGCGGGGAGAACCGGTGCGGATGTTCCGGTGGCACAACGTTGACGGACAAGTCGCAGCACGAGCGGCAGGGCACGTCAGCCGTGTTCGACGCGTGCAAGCCGCGTCTTACGTCCACGGGGCCGAGGCCAGGCTGCACTTGCGCCGGCAAAGACACCCAGAGCTGGCACACCGGCGTCGCGAAATGCTCGAAGCAGCCATGCCTCGGGATCGACTGTCTAATCCGAGCGTTCAAAGAGACACAGCAGTTCGTCGATTCCATCGGGAAAGTGCCAGGCCTCCCAGGACTCGGCCTGATGGACCCGTCCGAGAGTCCGTACTTCGGCAGAGACATCGACAAAGACTACTTACCGAAAGAAACCGGTACTGGACCACGAAGAAAGGAACAAGCGGCTCAGCAAGCGCCACCACCATGTCACGCACCGTGTAACAGACAAGCAGTCGCGTTAGGGGATGACCGTCCGCCGCTGCCCTACACACCTCCAGCACCTCTAGGAGCTATCGCGCTACCGCCCAGACTGGGGATCGTCCGAGAAGCTATACCTGTGCTGCCGGACGTTCCGCCGATCCTCGGCAGGAAGAGGAGAGACGAGAAGAAGAGCGACGAAAAGGCCGACAAGTCCCGCGACAAAGACATCGACTCGACTGTCGGGATCGCGGATCTAGAAACGGGCCCTTGCGGCGAGCCGATGTGCAAATCCAGACGAAAGACGCAGAGTGAGAACCTCCTAGGTGCGCAGAGCGCGACTGTCATGGCCTCTAAGTCCAAACTGGTTCGAGGAGTACCTGGCGCGAAGAAGCAACGAGCAGGGGATGGGAAGCAGTTCAGGGGCGGCAGGGGGCGCGGCAGAGCGTCGAGACGCGAGAAAGGAGGCGCCGGTGGTGATTATCGATTCTACGGTGGTGATTTAGCTGGTAGCAAGGCTGCCGTTGGTCAAGGGCCGGTCCGAGTCAGCAAAAGGGTGATGCGTTACGTATACTTCGTCGGGGACCACTATCCGGGCATCAACTACGGGCACAGGGATTGCATCGACATCCGCATGAGGGTGCCCGCGAACATGGGCTGGCTGTGGAACACGCTGTCCACGCCGGGTAATCTGAAGCCGCGGATCGGCTGGAGGCCGGGCGCGATAGGTCGCCACCTGTACGGCATGCTGCAGGAGGCGAAGGACGACTCGCAGTCCTACACGCCGGAGGAGTCGGCATCGGCGACCACCACGAAATCGGCGGATCGAGGGCGAACCGGTCGTGGCAAGGCGACCGGCGAACGCGGAAGAACGCCGCCGGCCAGAGGAAGACCGGGAGTCGAGCGTGCCAGGGGCGGCGCGGGGCGAGGCGCGAGGCCGGCGACGGTGGACCGAAACCGCGTCCGGTCGGCGAGCGCGCGACAGAGGTCGGGGACCAGGAGACACGACCGGCAAGCCTCGACGTCGATGAAGGGGGCCCAGTCCGCGCTGGAGGACGAGGAGGCGGCGAAGGACCCGCCGACTTTGCATATCCACAGAAAGGACGGAACTTATTACGTGACGATGTACCCGATCAAGCAGGAGCAGCCCGCGGACGAGGCACGAGTGCCCGAACCGATGAAGCCGCTCCAGTTCAAGATCGTGAAGAACAAAGACGAGGCATCGGTCGCCTCCAGCTCGACCGCCTCCGACATGGAGATCGAGTTCTCGCCACCGGCGGCGGTCACCAGGCCCCGTAGAAGGCCCGACGTGATCCACGTCGAGACCCAGGTCCGCCAGCAAGAGATCCTGGACGCGGTGAAGGTGGAAACCGCGAAAAAGGAGAAGAAGAGACGTGAGAGGAAGACGAAGCCGGAGTCTGGGAAGAAGGGAGTCAAGGAGAAGAGGAAAGCTTGAGGATTCCGATTGAAGGAGGATCGATTATCTTGCGGACACATTGTTGCAGTTTTTCGGATATAATCGGATAGATATTGGAGGATGTTAGGAAATTTGGAAGCAATGCAGGTTCGAGCCTGCGCGGAGAAATTAGTACGCAGCGCGACATCTACAGATGGCTGCGTTCAATTGTTGACGGGGACACGTTACCAACTACAGTTAAATGGTTGGACTCGGATGATCCAGTCGGTGAACTTTGGAATCAGTTTGGTAACGTGGAAAAATGGATGTCAACGCACGAAAGAAGCAAAATGAGATCGCACGACGAAAAATGATCGACCTGCAGGATGTTAGAATAACGAAGTGTCCGCCGGACTCGCCGTGGCTCAGACCTGTTCGGATTGTATATCGGCAAGATGGCGAACAGAAGGAGTGGGACGTTGTGAGAGTTCATGACGGTGTAAGTATAATTATCTTCAACACGAGCAGGAAGAAGCTTGTGTTCGTCAGACAGTTCCGTCCTGCGTTCTTCTACACGCATGTAACTGAGGCCAGCGGACCGGTTGACCTTGAGAAATATCCGCCGAAATTGGGTTTGACCTTGGAACTCTGCGCCGGCATCATTGACAAGGATAAGTCACTGGTCGAGATCGCGAGGGATGAGCTGAGGGAAGAGTGCGGTTACGAAGCACCTGCGGAGAGTATTAAACTTATCAATACTTTCGGGTACGCCGATAACAGTGGTTTATTCACGTCAAAACGCTGTAATTTTATGCGTGTCTGAACGTTACTGCGTCTGTATAATACTACAAATATTATATAGGAACACTTGCAGTTCTGTCTTCAAAAATACGCTCTTTTATGTGGAAGTGACAGATGAGATGCAAACTCACCCCGGTAAGCTTAATTTTGAGTATCGTTTGATTAGAATTTTATTTTAGAATTGTTTTGTACACATTATAAAGAATGTGGCGTAAGAGATAAGCTTACAGTGTCGAATAAAGTATGGGGGAAAAAAGCCTCAAATTTCTCATCCTTTAAACAATTAATCATATTAAAGGAGGAGGCGCTGCGTCTGAAGGGGAACTGATTGAAGTGGTGGAAATGAGCATCCCTGAAGTAAAACAATACATCAATTCTGAGAAAGTACAAAGCCCTCCAAGTTTCATGTATGGTGTGACCTGGTTCCTTCTTAACAAACCCGAACACTGTTCTTAACACACTTGAATCCTTTTAAAAGATGTTAAAAATAAGTATCGCTGAGTTAAACACTAAATAAAAGGCTTATCCTTTAACTGAGTTTATTTACAAAGAACATGTATGTACACAAGTGAATGTGAAAGAGATGTATGATTAAGGGCTGGATGAATCGAGGTAAACTGGTATTAAGTCAATGCTCAGATTCATCTTTTGCAAATTGGGAACTGACCCAAGCAAGACCCCACTTTAAATTTGTCAGAAGAAATTTCAGTGCTTTGGTCCATTGTTCTTCTGAATTAAATTGTATTCTATAACAAAATGCATAGAATGAATATTAAAAGCAATTTTGATTAAAAGAGTTTATATTGTGTATATAAAGATTTGTACTTGATGGAGTAAGAGTTGCCTGTTGCAGAATCTTCTATTTTCCCGCGATCCATTCTATACGGGAGGCAGAATCCACTGTCACCCTTCTCTACTTGCTCTTTAAATTGTTGTAAACAATCTAGAAAGGCCACCATAGCTGCATCAAACTTTGTGTCCCACAAAAATTTAAATCCTCCACTTCCATATAAAGGTAGTTCTCTGTGTTGGTCTAAGGCTTCTATGTAACTGTGATTACCAAATGGCACTAAACGGAAACGTTTAAACGTGAGATTCATTTTTCGAGCAAGTGCTGTTAACAGCAAGGTTGTCTGTCCCCAAGCAGCATTTATTTCACTCCAATCAACTGGTGCACTTGGCAATCTGCCTAAACGGAAGGAATTTATAGTTCCAAAATGTCCTGAGTGCCAAATATGAAATGTAGCATTGAAAACATTTGTTTTTTCCAGTCTCTCAAGCTGAGAAGCTGCATAGGCTAATTGGCACTCCAGACTAAACAAATTGGTAACATTAATGGGAGTGAAGTACAAAAAATGCAATAAATGCAAATACCTCATCATAGTTACCTGCAATTCTCATCTTCAGCTAATATAAGGTCTCTTTTGTGTTTTGAAAACTCTTTCCAATATCTCTCTTCCTCGCTTTGTAATCTTTCTCTTTCCCTTTCTTGTTGAGCTATAGCATTCTTAGTTGCCAGTTCCTCTTTTTTTAGTGCTTCTAATTCACTTATCATCCTTTCTTCTTCAGATTTAACATCCTGAAGCTCTTTTGTGAGTGTTTCCATTTCAATATCCTCATGTCCTTGCTGCTGCTGTTCCATTTCTAATTTCTTTAAATATTCGTTATAGTCTGACCATTCTTCTTCTGTCATTCTTAATTGCTGATCCATTAATAGGAGGAGACTATCAGTGCATTCATCACAAAGTGGATGATCAGCAGAGCTACTACTACTGAGAATATCAAACAGAGTTGCCCGTACCTTCAAATAATAAACATTACATTATGACTATGCACATAGATTAAACACATTCAAAATACCTTTAAATGATGACTTAGACTTTCTGTTTCCCCAGAATCACCAACCAACATGAATCCATTATTTCCATTTGCAGATTCTGTTAATCTAAATGGAGGAACAAGATGTTCCATACTTCCACTTTGAGGTTCTAAATCACCTACCACTTGTTGTATGGGAACTGTTGATAAAATTACACATACTGCTTTTACATATATTCTTCTTACTTCTGGCTACTGATTATCAATGCAATAAATAACTCATTCGTCGAATAATAACACAAAAAAAAATATAATGTAGTGCAAAGTACGAAAACAAAAACAAAAACATATATATTTTCAAACTTCTAGAACATGTCAAACCTAGAAGATATTCTTACGAATTAGAGGAAAAACTAAACAAAATATAAAATTGGTTACGAAATCATACAGTAGCAATAGAAATTACCTACGTGAAAGTTCTGCTAGTGTGTGTTCTCCGAGATGATAAAAACTCGGGTCTAGCCTGAGCGGTTGTAGACATTGCTGACATGCAAAACTTACATTACTTTTCATGTCTACCATTTTGATCGTTTGTTTCTAAAAAATAATGCACAGAATGCTCTTGTTCCCCGTGTTATTTATAAATACGCATTTGATGCTTGGAACACAGTGTCAGCTGATTTTGTTTTCATTATCCTCCATAAGAAGGCGTACGTAGAGCAACTAACAATAATTTTGTTTTTACCATCGACTAGTATACACTAGCACAGACTTAAAATCTGTATAGATGTATTATGTAATATAATTTTTGGCCTTGGTTCTGATTTACCGACCCTGTTAAATGTGCCTAAATTACTTTAACGGACTTTCTACAATTTATTAAGATTTTGGAGAGTCTTTTTGTTATGATCTATTCAAATTTTAACAACTACAAAGTGCACTTTTATTATTGCACATTTTCATAGTTCGCTAGGTGGCCATTTCTTTCGAGTAGAATCCGCTAGTGCACTAGGGTATTTTTGGTAGTCAGTATTTTAAAACCATAGACAGAAGATTTTGGATGAGATGTATTTGTATTCGAATGTAACTTGGAATATATATAAAGGTGTGCGCAGAATGGTACTTTCCGAATCCCGTAAAAATTTGTCAATATCCAGCTTACCAAAATAAAGCGGAAAGTTTCTACTTTAAGATAGCATCGCTGCGAGAAAGGTGAATATTTACCGGTCTACATAGTTACAGATTATTTAATTAATAATCGAAGAACGATACGAAGCATCTTTTCTCGATTGAAATTCATTAAATTTCTTACAAAATCAGTGCCATCTATGTTAAAATGGTCAAGCTATTAGAACATACCAACATTTACTGATACGTGAAATTCTCATATGCATCGTAGACTTCGAGTACACAGACTTATTAAGTCTGTATTAATGGCTTAATAGTTTAAGAGATTCGTCTCGAGCGGCGCCACAGATCACTGACCATTTTCTTGATGCGTAAAAAAATAAAATATCTGTTAAGAAAGCCGCAGCCGACCATTGTTAGTGCATAGTATCGATTCTGAGTATTTTCGAGAACAATTGTGTGTTTGATACGGAAACTATTTTAATTATTATCGTATTATCGAAGTAAAGCATTGAGGATCGTGCTTTATGCGAAACAGCGCATGAACGATCGATATGCCTATCTATCTGTAACCTATGCAATCGTTGCGGACCGTACGTGTTTATGGATGTTTCAATGGTTGACAGCTGTCAATCGTACATAGGTTGGTAGTGAGTCACCGCATCGTCAGTGGAACTAGGTGAAGACTGCTCACCTCGGCAGGTGACTAAGAATTCAAGAATTACTGCTATCTTCTTTTTTTGTCTTTGTTGTGTTATCATCTATCGCGCACGCACTTCCTTGTTCGCTAAGAGCAGTTTATGCTTCTGTGATTTTACTTTAGACAAACCTAAAAATCAAGCACTCGCTTTTTTGGCCTCCAAGTTTTGTGCTGGTCCACTACAGGTATCACACACCATCACCCACCCCTTTGTTCAGATGTCCAGGTATTTTTTGTAAGAGCCCTTTTTTACTTTGTTTTGCATCATGTTGCACAAACTGTTATTTTCATTAGATAATACTTGTTTTATTTTCATTGTTTCACAGTGATATAACCGGCATGGCGTCTAGTTCCGTCAGCCAGGAAGACTTTGACGACTATGAGTTAGCATCCAGAAGATCAAGAATTAGAACGGCACGAGCAAGGGTTGGTCCACCCAGAACAGGAGACACGTCTTCAATAAACTTTCAAAGTAATTTTCTCATTATTTGTTAATCATAATACCAAATTGCTTATGGTTATTAATAGGGGAATGTAAAATATCTGTGAATGTGGCTTTAGTTATCAATACTTAGTTATCACTACAGTTAGTTATCACTACTCTATCATTATTAATTTTATGGTGCATCTATGAATGCTATATTTATTTTTTTATGTATTAATATGTTTGTAGTCCAATGTTCCATACATACGAGTCAAAGAACTTACGACTTTCATATTCTTTATCCTAGCATGGAATAGAAGTACTCTGATATTAAGAGGTGTATACTTTGTTCACATGTAATGAATAGTTCCATTGAACATTTTATATATAATGAATTTAAGAAAATATGATAAGGAATATTAAGAAAATCACAAATGATCAAAAAAATATACAAAAGATAAATAATGTTTCTGTTTTGTAATAATTATAGAATTAAAATTAATTTAATATTATCAGCATTTATTAAATTTATGCTGTGCCATATATATTATATTAATATTATGTGCTGTAGAAAGTACACCAAATGTGGAGGAGTCTCAAGGTGTATGTGAAACAAGTTCCAACAGTGTGCCTAGTCATGAGAATCAACAGAACAAACCAATAATGAGGAAACAGGACAAACGTGTCACTGGCCGGTAAGTAATTCATCCATCGGTTCAACAAGGATGTTACATTAAATTTCGACCGCTTGCCACTATTATGTAGATCCAGTATAGAGTTCGCATATTTTGCTAACACTTTCTGGATCTGGTTCTAGTGTCTTTAGTGTCGTATCCTGTTTGCACAGGCCAACGCACATAAATAAGGGCAAGCAGCAACGTGACAGACGGAAACTTAGGGAAAAGAGACGAAGTACTGGAGTAGTGCATTTACCGTCGACGGAGGTTTGTCACTATTTGCAGTCACCTTAAACTCCCAAAATCTTAATGACTCTTGAGCACTTTCACGGTGAAGTAAAGAGTCTTTGCATCGACGCTCGTCTGATATCAAATTCTTAGTTTTTATACTTTGCATGAGAAATTTAGATATATTTTCTTCTATTAATCATAGTAAATCTAAATTTCAAGTATACAAGCAGAAATGTTTGTCTTTAGCTTTGTGTTTGGTATTTTTAATCTATATTATAACATATTTTGTCATGGTAGAATGGTAATATTGTTGAATGTACGATAAGTAGAATTGCACTTAGAAGCGCTATTGATACAATGATCGTGTGCATTTGGCCGCGAATATAATGGATATTAGTGAAAGTTTTGTGTGCGAACCCGTTGTTACTCCGCAATGTAATTTCGTTAGCGACTTAATTCTGCAGAGTACAGGAGGTAGTACAGGAGAAGATGAAGAAGAGCTTAGTGGCACTTGTCTTGAAACTAAACACAACACATATCACAATGAGTTCCTTGATCCTGAACTCATAGAAGTAAGTTCGTGCGATTATATACATATATACATGAATGTATAAATATCTGTTCAATATACTACATATAATACCGTGCACAACGGTGAAATGTCCAAAATGTCCCAAACAGAGATTATGTATGAATGTAAAACTGCGCATGTTTCAGGATCGGACTGCAAAAATGTTTACACAAAGGCGTAACAAAAGGTATAAAATACTGATATATATTACAGTAGCAGAATCATAAATAATAGTGCTTTAGTGACAATTTAGTAGTTCATTGTAATAAACTGCTACTGCTTTTTAGGCATTACCGTACTTCCTACAGGTCATGTATAAATAGGCACAGTTGGTAAGTGCTACTGTACGTGACAATGTACAATTAGGCACGACCTGTACGAAGTACGGTAGAGCTAAGTAGAAATTCTTTTAAATACGAGCCTGCGTATTGTAACAAGTACGTAAGTCCTTTGTATATCCTTTTATATACACACAAACGATCCGAAATCAGTAACAATCTCTTTAATTACTTTTCTCGTTCATAGTAGTTTACCATGACTCACGTTACACTAAAGCGTAAACTAACCAACAAAAAGAGAAATCAATTTAAACAATATCGTAGACATTATCGGATATGTTAGGATCGTTTATATTAAAGGTCGTGCCTAATATATCGTTATAGGCAGTTCGGACCAAGATGGCAACATGTATCCACTAACGCGCGAAAACTACAATTTCATTTTAGCCATTCCGATTTTGAAGCAGATGACGAGGAGTTTGATTCCTTGAATCAGTCGGACAGTGTCAACCAATCGGATCACGGAAATCATGAACCGCAGACATCAGTAAACACCGGAAATAGGCCAAGAGTGCCTACACCGACTGGAGACAATCCTCACGAGGTACCGTACCATAAAAATCATCGATAAAATAACTGATGAAATGGAAAACAAGTGAAAATATTTAAATAATGATACAATGATCACTGGGGAAAATTTCAGTTAATAGAACGGGCGCAGGAGGAGAACAGAAGGCTATTGTCACTCCTCGAAGACCGAGATCACAAGATCATGGCGTTAGAAGCACGCTTGCTGCAACAGCAACATGAAATGACGTTGGAACGGGAACGATTGCGAGACGAGAACGCCGCGTTAATCCGCGCAATGGCAGCTTTGGCCAGCAATTAACTTCTCTTTACGCGGGACAGCCCGGCGACGCACTGTCTATTTTACGGATCGATTCTTAGAGACCGCGGATCAGCCGTGAATAAGCAACATATACCAATAGTTTCCATTAATCGTGAATTTACCCGTTAATAATAGCCGGAAAAGGACAGATAGCGAAGCGGCTCTTAAACAGATACGAAAAGAGAGACACAAAGGCAGAAACGAAACCGACGATTCATATAAAAAATCGCAGCCCGAGAGAATCAGGATACGTTACGCTACATACAGTCCGCTCTCAATTCCTCTGTATCATGTTTTTTCGTAACAAGCAATAGATCTCGTCGCACGAGCAAAGAGAAGTAATCATAATTTATCTGCTTCACCTATAGAGCTTTAGTTGAGTGAATTTTATTATGCAATGAGAGTAAAGAAGAAAAAAAGATATATATAAATAGATACATATAAATATATATATATATATAAATATATATTGTTTTGCGTCGTCGTATCGTTGGTATCTAATCATGGTCGATAATGGTGGGGTTAAATATGTTTTTCGCGATGTAACAGCGTAAACAGTAGACGAGGTGCTCCAGTTTGTTATATATCATTGTTAGACGAGTGATCAAGATTAAGAATCGTCTTTGAATCTATGCTTGACGCGATCGCGAATCTCCTCTAAGTAACGACGTTTTTACTGTAAAACCGATCTGCGTAGTGTGACGTGCAAAATAATATCCGTCTGAAAATATTTCTCGGTAATCACTTCCATCTACGAAATTATTAAACACTGTAGACAGTGTCCGTTGCCAATTCTATCAAAGCATAAGGATAACAAGATTTCCTTCGATACCGTAACGACACACGTCTATTAGAATATTAATTGAAAAGGATCGTTTTTGTACCCCATAGTTTTGCACGTCACTATATATCAGCGATGCTCGACACGTTCGTCGTGCCGTGTCACTTTTTTACCCGCGAAAATGTTCGCTTCGCCGCTCGTCTCTCTCTCGTTGGGGTGACGAATGTGTTTACAAGAAGGGTGTTTAACGTGGAAACAAATTCGGACGTGGGTTTGTGCGAATCAATTCGCGAACAGAGAGGCACAGAACAAGCAATTCCGTATCGCATTTAATTCGACCGTGCGAGAGGGATCGTGTTTGAGACGGGGGGCGAGTAACGAGGTCCAGAAGACAAACCACGAATCCTCTATCTACTATTACTTGTAATACCGTTACAACTAAAGCTCCGGCTTATCCGTTCAATCCGCCATTGTAAACGGATTCATGGGCGCGTTGCGATTCCGTTTGGAAGCAGACACCGACTGGAGCCTTAGTTACAACCTAATATTTTACACAGCGATGCGTGTATACAGGGCGTCTCGCGTAATATGACAGCAGCACAAGGTACGGTCATTAAATCCTTGGGACAGCCTATGTATACACGTGTGCAGCTAGAAAAAGCAGGAGACTGAGAATGCGAGTTACATTGTGCATGTTGAGCGAACATTGTCGAGAGAAAGTAACAGGTCGAATTTGTAATTTACGTACTTGAATCGTATGCACAATCACGTTTTTATTTGTTGAGGGGAAATATAAATCTCGGAACAATGAAACGAGGAAAGTGGCAACCACGCGAACGGCTGCTCCGCTTTACCGTCCGTTTCACCGCGGGACGCGCCACGGCGGCCATCTTGGTCCCGCGTGTCCGTCGATTTCGAGGGAATCATGTTCGACAGAAAAGATTGCTCGGTCTAAGGATTGAACCCGACTCCATCGCAAGAATTTGGAAACTTTATTATATTCGAAATTCGATATTTTCTGTCTAAATAAACATGTTCTTAATAAACCGTGTCTGTTGCACTTTTGCGACCCGATCTCCATTGTTAGATTAAACTGTACCAATAACAACTGTCGCGTGGACATCTTGCGGACTTCCGCGATTTACAAAACGAATCTTTACAGACTACTCTAAGGACACTAACTCTTCTACAATAGAACTACCGGAAACCAAATTCAAAATGAACAACCCCGCGTAAACTAGATCCTCCGCCTCAAGTCAAAATCACTTTAACACTACAACTACCGAATAGTCAAATTGACCTTTCAACATTTTTCTATAGAAACTCCGTCAGTGCTATTGAAATTTCTATTGATTTACAATTCAGTTTGCCTATCGTTGAATCAATTTCTACAGTAATTTCTCCGAGAATTGTCTTTGTAATAATTGTAAATCTTTTGAGCTCTTCGGTAGTTCGTGTTAAGTTATAAAAAAGAAGCTACGCCCAGGAAAATGTTATTTCGCTACGTTTGGTTCGCAGAGTCTAATATAAAGGATCATCGGTACCAAGTAAGCTCTACTTCTGAAGTCCGAGGACGAACGCTAAGGATACAGGATGTGGGATGATAGAAAAAGAAACGGAATGGCACGTCCGTAGGATTTTCTCGAGCCGCGATTCACGCTTCAAGGTCGAATCCCGCACGGTTACGTGGCCAAGTGCCGTAGGAACGGTTCATCGGCAACGACTATTTATCGCAGGTCGACATATACAATTTTATTGTTAAAGTTCTTCCACAATCCAGTAAACGCTACATACACATATACATTCTTACGACGCAACAGGTACTACACGCTCATGGCCTTCTTCCGCTTCTCTCTCCACCCGTCCTATCTCTGTCTCTCCTCATTTTTACACGGCGCTCGATCAACATCGTCTCCGCTCGCGATTCGCCTGTCCCGCCATCGCTCTCTGCGATATAATGTTTCTCTATGTACAACGCTCTATTCGCTACACTTTATACAAGGACCACAGGGGTGTGTGTGTGTCAGGGGGACGCTAACGTCGTTCGGAGGACGGTCGCGGGGCCGTATCGCTCAGCATCGGCAACGGGGTCCTCCGTGGTCCATTCAAGAGGGGAAAATAAAGGCGACGTTTCTTTGATATGTACCGTTTTATCTTCTTCTCGAGAGAATTTGAGAATATTTCAAGGAACTTGCTCTGTCTCGTATGCTACTGCCGTGAACTCTTTTCTCTCTTATCTTCGCACGCGAATAATTAAGGTATCTCCTCCTCCTCTCTATCTCTTTCCCTCTTATGTTCGCTCTCTTTCCTCTCCAGCTTGTCGAGCTTTTATTGTCAACAGTTGAGTCTCTAACGTAGAAAGGCATATCGGTTAAAAGCGATTCTTTCTTTCCTCCTCATCATCGTCTTCGTCAACTTCTCTCTCTCTCTCTCTCTCTCTCTCTCTCTCTCTCTCTCTCTTTTTGAACAGCTGCTCGGTTTGATTAACAGCGGGCGATTGTCGTGTGTCGTTATCCGCGCACGTGTCTTCGTTTACATACTAAATTCAACTTGTCGCCCCGTTAGGCCGTTCGGCTGCTCGAGTGGCTGCTGTCCCGAGGGTCGGGATTTCCATCCCGTTTCCCCGCGAGGGACAACGTCTCGTCGATTAAAATGAAAGCGGCGCTACGAAAGCTACAGGTAGCAAACACACGCGTGCGTGGTTTTTCGAAGGACGACCGGAAAACTGCGCCCAGCGACGCGTTCGAACGGTAACGTACAAAATGGCGGATCGAGTGAATCGTGCCCGAGAGGATCTCACCTCTACGAGCGCTCTCTTTCGCTAGGAGATCGTGCGTCGAGCACGAGAAACGCAGTTCGCAAGTTCGAAGAACGTGAACGAAAGAAGCTTCTTATTCAGTGCGTTTGAACTTTTGGTCACGCGATGCGCGAACGATGCTTCCCACTGGACACAACTTTCTCAATCGGGTCAAGAGTTAATCAGTACCGATAATAGCGTCCCAAGGGGAAAATTGAATTTCAATGAAGTATTCGAAACGATTGATGTTCGGGCTCGATTCTCGCGTGTCACGTGACCAGGTCAGAAGATTATGGCAGAAAGTGTTCAACTTCTCGCGCGAAATCGCTCGATGTCGCTAAAACACCGATCGCGGGGACCTTTGATCGGCCCTCCGCGCGCGTTTGAATTGACCGACGTTACAGAACAGATTTGGTCGTTACAGCGAAGCTCGCTCGAAGCTCGCTCGAAGCCTGGGACCCGTCGAATTCGAACTAATAATTGGTTTGGCATCGTTTTACACTCGTATTCGTCTAAGAAAAGAAACAAAAAAAGAGAAAAAAAAACAGAAAAATAATAATAATCCGTCTCATCCCTCGAGTCTGTCGACGTGTTGTATTTATTCTAAATTAATTGGCGGTGAGGGGGTGTGTTTACGTGTGTATGTAACATGGGGGAGGGCACAGGGCGTTCCGCCCTTACATTCTCTCCTAAATTCTCTCTCTCTTGCTCTCGCTCGCTCATTATCGTTCGCACCTTAAAAGTAAATCAATTACATCCCGACAAAACGACTAGATGATTACGATGGTTGGATCTCAACCAGATCCTTAAATGCTACGGAGCGCGCACGTGGTTAAGTTAAAAGTTTCCGATTAACGAATACACGATTATTTCTCATTATCAAATATAAACCGCCCTCGATAGCCGGCGGTGTGTTTCTGTGTATGTATGCATGTACGTGTGTATGCGTATGTGTGTAATATACGAGTACAGAGATACAAATAGATAAAGGCAAAAAAAAAGAAAAGAAAAGAAAAAAAAAGAAAGAGAAAAGAACAACACAAACGTAGTAAACCTCTGTTGCGCTCGGCGAGCAATTGAAGCTGTTCGGGATCGACGTTCGTCGTCGAGCGATTCGGACTTCGCGCGAGAAGGAAATCGCTGATTTATCGACGACGCTAGATGGTTCTCCGACGAGGATCCGTCCTCCTTTACATTCCACGATTTTTCGTTTTCTTTCGAGTCCGCGGAACATCGAAACGAGACAGCGACAAACTCGGAATCATCCGGCAAGCGTCGATCCTCCGACCGTCCACCCCCGCCCTCTCGCCCCGACGATCCCGAACCCAAGTGCTCGGGTGCACAACAAATTGTTATTGACCTCAATTGACGTTACATTCGACCGTATTCGCCGTCGACGCGCTTCTCGCGTGGTGTTGCCTCGACGATTGCGAAACAACGCTGCCGCCGGAACGCGCGCGCGTAACATTGTAATATGTATGTATATAATAAGAATAATAATAATCATAATGTATACACCCGGGGTGTGCAAAACACGCTCGGAAACGTGCGCCCGCGAAACGATCGTCTGCCGACCGCGACACCAGTGTCCCTGAACGAGGTACCAACC